GGTGGGTTATAAAATAAATGGGATAAATGGATGGTAGATGGATGGGTGGATGGATGGATTGATGGATGGATGGATGGATGGATGGATGGATGGATGGATGGATGGATGGATGGATGGTTGGATGGGTGGTTGGGTGGATGGGTGGGTGGGTGGATGGGTGGGTGGGTGTATGGGCGGGTAGCTCAGAGCCTGCCCAGCACTAACTCTTTCTTTCTCCCTCTCCTCACCCCCATGCTCCGCCCCCCACAGATGATGAGCGGATGCTGGTGGAGCCTGCCTGTGGGGCAGCCTTGGCCGCCATCTACTCAGGCCTCCTGGGGAAGCTCCAGGATGAGGGTCGCCTGCCCCGGCCCCTGGCCTCTGTCGTGGTCATCGTGTGTGGTGGCAACGGCATTAACAGCCGGGAGCTGCAGGCTCTGAAAGCCCAACTTGGGCAGAAGTAAGAGCTCCCGGTTGGGGAGCACTAGCCTCCCACAAACACTCCCACAGGGCTTGTGGGTCCCCTGAAATGAGGGGGCTCCACGCTGCCCTGTGCTTTTGCGCTGACTGCCTCCTGCAGGCAGCCCCCTGGGCAGGTCCCTTTGGCTCCCCTGGCCAATAAACCCTTTCTGAGCTGGTAACGCCAGTGAGTCTGGTCTCCCCCTCCTTGAGTGCTTAGAGGCACAGCGACCGGGGTGAAGTCAGTCTGCGAGTCACACTGCCGGGACAAGAGAGCCAAGGCCCCACCATGCTGATCCTCCAATGGGCTTCCTTTGCATGGTGTTCTGCTCAGGCATGGGGGGGGGTGCTCTGGCCCTCCTCTTGCCTGGGAGGCTGAGGCCAACGCCTCCCGTCTTTGTCAGGTGCAGTAACCCTGAGGCAGAAACCTGTTTGACGTCTGGGGAAACTGAGGCTCGGAAAGGTTGGCATGGTCTGCCCGGGGTCGCAGCAGCCATGAGGCCCTGCCTGTGTTTTTGACATGACTCTCTGAGGGGAAGTCAGTGACAGGGGGCTTTGAGGAGGGAGGCAGGGCCTCCAGGTGGGACACACTGGAGGGTGGCGGGAGTGGGGGTGCTGGCCTGGGAGTCGGCCCCCTCCAGCCTCACTTCTCCCCTAGGTGCTCCGAGGAAGCTGGAGGGAAAATGAGAATCTTTTGCCACCAGGGGGCAGCAAAGCGTCTCCATTGGGGAAGCCTGGCTCTGGGGAAGTTCCCCTCTTTCCACAACTTGGGGCTGCTGAGGTGGGGGATGGCTGGGGCCCTCCAGAGTTGGCATGGGGAAGCCCCATCCAATCCTCACAGCCCTGTGGGAAGCTAGACTGAGAGTGTGGGTACATGCAAGTCGACAGCCCGCGGCAGGCGACAGCCCGCGGCAGGCCCAGCTCCCGCCCCATGGAGTCCCCCATCCAGCCAGGTAAAAGCTGTGGCCCTGGGTGAGTGCTGTCTGCTCTCTGGGCCCCAGGGTGCGCCTCTGCGCTGGAGGACACCCACTTCCCACTGCCCATCTCCAGTCCTTTCCCCAGGCTGCTCGTCTGTGGCCTCCCTCTCTTCTCGGGGAGGGGTTTCAGCACTGCGGTGACCTCTCTGCTTCTCCTGCTGCCTGGGCTCATTCTCTCTTTGGTCCCAGACACAAGGCCCAGATTGTGGTGTTGCCTTCAGAGGCCACCAGGCCCCAGCCCTGTTTCTTTGGCGGTACACTGTGTGTACCCCAGAATAGGAGAGACACTTGGAGCCCAGACTGGACTCAGCAGAATCTGTTCCCCATAACTAGCCCAGCCCCGGGACATCCAGCCCATGCTGCACCCCCCTGGGCTCATCTGTCAAGCGGGTTGTCTGCGGATGGTGTACCTTGCTCTCATCAAATGCTAGTTCTTTTTTTTTTTAAGATGTATTTATTTATGCATACAGAACTGGGGTACAGGTCAGAGGGGTAGGGGCAGTGAGAGGATTCACCAGAGACAGAGTGGGGAGCAGGACAGGTTGACTGGTCAGAGGAGGTCTGCCGCGCCATTTGGTCACCTCCAGGGCGGGGATCGAACTCATGCTGAAGTGGCTTTAGCTTCTTAGTGGCTTTTAGCTTCTTTAACCCACTTGTACCACCAGGGAGGGCCCCCTTTCTTTTAAAAGAAGTTTTTATTATGCATACGGAACTGGGGTACAGGCCAGAGGTGCAGGGGTGCGAGAGATTCTCTAGACACAGAGTGGGGAGCAGAACAGGCAGATTAATGAAGCACACTGCTGAGGGGAGCAGCGGGTGTGTCAGGAGAGGTCTGCTGTGCCATGCGGGTCGTCTTGGGACCGGGCTCGAACTTGTGCTGCAGTGGCTGCAGCCAGCTTTGTAGTGCTGTGTCCTAGCCCGTTGTTTGACCAAAGAGGCCCAAATGCTAGTTCTTACTCCCCATTGAGCACCGCGCCCCCAGCAACCCTGGATGGGGGTGGGAACCGGCTCATTTTCCTGCAGTGAATTCCCACTGCGTGCTGTGGGTCTCAGCAGTTGCTGCTTCCAGTCTCGTAATGACCCACATGCTCCACACTGTGACAACTTTCATCTTGCAAGTGAGAAAATGGAGTCCCCTGCTTGTGCTCTCAGCACTTCTAAAACCTGCACATCTTCACACCCAGCAGAGGCAGCCTCCTCCGGGAAGCCCCCTAGGGTTACTTCAGCCAGCAGCAACCTTCCCGGCCCTCACCTCCAGGTGGGCGGTGGAGGCCATGTCCGTGGCAGGTGCTCTCTCTCCCAGGCAGCCTTCTGCCCCTGGCTGAGCTCCTGGGAGGCTTGTCAGCTGCTAAGAGTTTGTTCCTCTCCTGCTCCTGGCCTCGCAAGCTGGAGATAAGACACCGAGGGACCTGTTGACCCCATCCAGATAACACAGGTCAATTATCTGAGTTCAGCCCTTCCTGGTTGACACCCAAGGCACGGCCAGGGCGGAGAGGGGGCCGGGAGGCAGCGGGGCCTGCAGTGAAGCTGAGCCTGCGGAGGGGTTGGCGTGGGGGATGGGTAGGAGGAAGAGCAAGTCTCTCTGTGTCTCTCCCCTCTTGGAGCTCTCATGGCATGGCGGGCCTGGGGGCCCTGCGGGGTGCTGGAACAGGGCTTCTCTGTTGATTCAGGGCTGCAGCGGGTGAATGGGGCTGCCAGGTGCATACACCTGCCTGAGAAACACCAGCCTCCGTCCCCTGTCCGGGCAGGAGCCGCCTTGGCTCCCTGTGGGTCCTCCTCTGCCCCCGTCCACCCCCCAGCCCTCAGCCAGGGCAACGCAGAAGCTTGGGCTCATCCTCGCTGCCCAGCTGGCTCCAGGCAGTTCCAGGCAGTTGCTTGGGAAGGGGGACCCGGTGACGCCTGTTGCCGCCCCCCCCAGCCTGGGCAAGAGCCTGGTAGGTGGCAGCTATGTGCTCCAGGCCCCGCAGAGCAGGATCTCCCCCATTTGGGGCAGCACTTGTGTGCACACATGCATGTCTGTGTCAATGAGCAAGTGGACTGTGCCCGCGCTCAGGCACTGAGGAGGGAAGGCTTGCAATGAAGTGTGCCGGGCTTCATGCTTTTGTATCTGAGGCTGGAATGCAACCACAAGCCCAGCATCGAAGTCATCGATGCAGGTGCCTAAGTGAAGCAGGTTGGGGCCAGGCACTAGGGCTCAGTGGGGAGTGGAGAGAAGTGAAGAGCTCATGCTCTGTAGAAAGGGGTGCCCGTGGCCTCAGCCTGTCCGCTGGCAGGCCCAGCTTAACGGAGTTCTTAATTTCATACTGGTTATCAAATTGGAAGCAATTTCGGCAACTGTGTGCTGTTTGCCCACACGGTCACATTAAGACGTCAGTGGGTCGTGCAGGAAAGTCACTTCTGAATCGAAGCATTGCATTTCCTCTGGCACGGTGTTTGGTTCAAGGGTGGGCATCAGGGTCCTCTCAGGAGGCGTTATTCCTACAGGCCCGTCCTTGGGTAAGCCTGGGATTTCTGCCATTGAGGCTGGAAGGCTCCTGACTAATGGCACAGGCACTTAGGATTCATCTATCTATTTATTTATTTATTAGAACAATGGGGGTACAGGTCAGAAGTGGGGGGGGAGGTAAGAGGTTCACCAGAGACAGAGTGGGGAGCAGAACAGGCAGATGGACTGAAACACACTGCTGAGGGGAGCAGCAGGGAGACAGGAGAGGTCTGCTGCACCATCTGGGTCAGCTCCCTGGCCGGGGATCGAACTCACGCTGTACAAGTGATAGTGCTGAGACTTAGCACCTAGGCCACCAGGAAGGCCAAAAATGTGTCTCTTCAGCTCAGAACTGCCCAGGTCTGAGCCCCCTGTGGGGTTGGCCCTTGAAATATGGGCGCCGTAGGGAGCTTGTCTTTCATTCACTGGGCCTCTCCCGGACCCACCCTTCACTCTGTCCCCGGCATGAGGTCTTGCCTTCTGCCTTGACAAGAAGAGCAAAGCATGGCCCAAGGTGCTAGAGCGGTCGAGCGGGGCAGTGGTCATGAAGTGAGGAGACTCTTCTTCCGGAAGCTGCACCTGGGCGCACCAGAGACACCTGGGACAGTGGGCTCAGGTCCCGCCAAGGAGAGCGGCCTAATTTCCCACCACTCATCCGGGTCTAGGGTCAGCTTCACCCTGATGTCAAGCCTCGGGCCACCCTTCCTGGAGGCCTGGCCATCACCCATGGCGACTGGGTCACTGCTGAGGCCCAGTGAGGAACAACGGCCCTCCCCGGGGCAAGTGGGGCGAGGATGCTTTGGTCTCATGCAGATACAGGACCCACCCACTGGAGACCTCAAGTCCTGCTCCCCCAGGACTTTCCAAGGCAGAGGGGGCCCCTTCGCAGGGGTCAGGAGAATGTGACCATGGTGCCCTTCTCCAAAGACATAGCCTGGCTATGTCCAGAGTGGCGAGGAGTTTCTGCCTCCCCGCTGGCCTACAGCTCACGGGTCCCCTGCAGTGTCCTTGCTAGGTGAACGAGCGGCTGGGTCCTTGAGCTCTGCGTGTCCCCCACCCCAAATGTTCCTTCCTTTTGGACCTGCCAGAAGGCCACCCAAGTCCCGAGCCTGGCGGCCATCCTCACCACTGCCCCCCACTCCAGATCAAGGGGGTCAGCCTCGGGGGTGGGTGTCAGCCTCCAGGGTGGCATCTCCATAGTCCACAGTCCCCCTGAGTCAGGCTGAAGTCAGACTCAACCCTCCCCTTCTCCTCCCTTCATAAATCCCATGCCAAGAAGCCCCCTCTTCGGCACCCAAAAAAGGGGCCCTCCCCCTCTCCCCACCCCACCAGCCTCGCCCTTCCCCACTGTTTGTGCTTTTTAAACTCCACCAAAAATGTCACGAGCAGGCTTCTCGCCCCGCTTCCATACTCACTGATAAATTCCACTGGCTGGGCACCCCCAGGAGAGGTTTTCTGGAGCAAGGAACCCCATAAATCACCCTGCTGCCACTCCAGCGTGGGCAATATCTTATGTAAAAAGGTGTTTCCTGGGAGCGCCACGGGCAGGAGAATCCTATTACAAGCCGCCCCATTAATTATAAAGAGTCAAGTCGACCCTTCGCTGCGATTTTTTATCTTAAGTCCGAAAACTGATTACCTTCACCAAGCCTTTTCCCTTCTTAAAAAAAAAAAAAAAGCTTAAAGAATAAAATAAATGTTTGAAGAACAAA